ATCTATCCATCTATCTATCTCTGTCTGTCTGTCTTTCTGTCTGTCTTTCTGTCTATCTATCTATCTCTCTCTGTCTATCTATCTATCTATCTCTCTCTGTCTGTCTGTCTATCTATCTATCTATCTATCTATCTATCTCTGTCTGTCTGTCTGTCTGTCTGTCTGTCTGTCTGTCTGTCTGTCTATCTATCTATCTATCTATCTCTCTATCTCTCTCTCTCTCTCTCTGTCTGTCTGTCTGTCTGTCTGTCTGTCTGTCTATCTATCTATCTCTCTATCTCTCTCTCTCTCTCTGTCTGTCTGTCTGTCTGTCTGTCTGTCTGTCTATCTGTCTGTCTGTCTGTCTATCTCTCTCTGTCTGTCTGTCTGTCTGTCTATCTATCTATCTATCCATCTATCTATCTCTGTCTGTCTGTCTATCTATCTATTTCTGTCTGTCTATCTATTTCTGTCTATCTATCTATCTATCTCTCTCTCTCTCTCTCTGTCTGTCTGTCTGTCTATCTATCTATCCTAGTTTACTCCTCTCTCACAAAGCTGGTGTGTGGCTGCTAGCGTCACGCTTCCCTCAGCCTGGAATTAATGAAGAAAACTTTGCATATTACAAACATACTGTGGAAAGACTGAAAGGAATTATTTGTTTAATAAGGCCTGTCATTGTTTACACACAATGAATCACGGAAACATCACGCAAACTCTTCGTTGTCTATGTGGAGGGTGATTAGCGTGAAATAGTTTCAGCAACTTGGAGGTCCATTTCATGGAGGTTTCTGTCTTAACTTCACTGAAAAGTGTCGAAAGACTGAAATCAAATCCTGTCCTAAAAGTAATCTATCACTGACCAAACTGGACACAACTAAGGAATGTTAAGAAAGAAAAGGCAAAAAAGACTAAATGTTTTTAATGAAGACTGAATGTGTATTTATGAGAACATGTTTACTGATCCTTATCAAATTCCAATGTTCTCAACACAATAAATTCACTATTGCTCCACATGCACAAACATCTGGCAAGGAAAAACAAACCCACAGATTCCAATCAAACAATCCTGAAAGACTACAGCGACAAACTCCCCCAAATGTCATCTTAAACTACCCTTAACAAAGATCTTCTTTAGTGCAGACAAAAGAAACAACAAGCATACAAGTAATGTTTTTATACAATATGTTCTCAATGCATTCATTTTTACTTATAAATATAATACAGTCATCAGCCCCTTTCAGTCTTTACTGGTAAATTACCAGTAACAGATCATGTGTGAACAGGACCTTTTCAAATATACCGGTAAATTGGTTCCGGCAATTTACCAGTAAGCGAATGTGTAACATTACCAGTAAATTACCGGTATATGTGCTGTGTGAACACGGAATGAAGATTACCGGTATTTTTCACGTACTAGGTCAGAACGCGCTGACGTAAGAAGTGATTTGGGCCAATCTGGGCCATTCATAAAATATGACGCAGATGACGCTTTTACTCAGAATTGTTTACAAATGTCTTCAAATTGGAGTGATACCGAAACTAAAGCGCTTTTCCTCGCTTTTTCTTTTACCGGTAAAGTCATTCTGGCAATTTTACGGTAATTTACCGGGATTGCTGTGTGAAAGGGGCTATCATCAGGTAATTTTGACAATGAAACCCATTTATATTAGCTATTTTAAGAGGGGTCATTTTATACATTTATTTATTCTATAATGTGAGCCAAAAACAGTCCAGACAGGAGTATGTTAGTTTCATGGTGTTTTAGTTTGGTTTTGTTCCTTTATTCCTATTCCCAGTCATTGTTAGTTTCTATAGACGTTAATTGAGTTCCACATCTGTTCCCTGTTGCATTAACTAACTTCCATTGTGTATTTAAAGGCACAACATTTTACTTACCGGTACATTTTCCCAAACGTTTCCAACAATGTTTAAATCCAGAGAAATCAGCCATTTTAATCAGGACACAGTTCTGATTCAGTTCAATTATGATCATGTCAGTTCATTTTGTCGCCTGCCAATGATCATATCCGAGTTACCCTCGATTTCCCTCGTTTTACTTTCATAGAAACCATGGAAACACCAAAGACACTTTAATGTATAATATTGTTTATATTATGTACTATAATGTATATAGTATTAGGCAGGTGAGCAACTGTTAGGATACATTTTTCAACAGAAAACAAATCATTGTTATATAGCTCAACACGATTAGTCTTAGGGCTGGGTGATATGGGCAAAAAAAATTATCACGATTTTTTTTATATCAGTCGATATCGATAATTATCACGATAAATGTCAAATCTTTATTTCTTTCAAGTTTAAAGGCAGATTTTTGCTCCTAAGTGAAAGTTGTAGAAACCAGAGCGTTAATTGTGGTTTTAAACTACTCTTTATTGTCAGAACATATCATGACAAACACTTGCCAAATCTGAGGTAGAACATTCAAACATTTGTCATTTTTCCTTAACAAAATAAATATCTTAATAGAAAAAAGGAATGTTCTTAGTTTCTGCATGTGCTACTTTTTATTTGGTAAAATGTAATATTCTGACTGTTTGAGTTTTATTCAAATTAACCATTGGTCATCATGCATTTAGATCATGATAACCACAGATAAAACTGGGCACAGCCTACAGTACCTCACTATCATGGCAAAAAAAAACAACTTTATAGTTTCTATGGTATTTGTATGAAAAACAGTAGCCTAAATGCATTATGTTTATAATTACAAATAATGTAATTATATTCCATTAGTCCTTTAATTATTAATTTTACCAAATAATAATTTAATAATATAATACATTCAATATGTATATCCCACATTTCATATGCAGTTAATATTACTAGGCTAACCTTACAGTAAGTCCGTGGTAAATGATGGGGATTTGTAGACGGAAAAGCCTTCTGACTGTATCGTTGCGCACAGTGTCCCTCCTGTTCGTCAGCGCTGTTTCATCTGCCTTTAAACTGGTTTAAATCACTGAGATATTTGTGTTCTTCGCTGAACTCAAGCGCTTCTCACTGGATCTCGTGAGTGAGGCCGATCAGAGTAAATGCGTCTGCTCTAGTGAGCTCGCGCTGCGCTGCCGTTTGGACTTTGAGCCAAGCGGATAAACAGTCCGTGAGCGCGCGCGGTTCAAATGCGTTTCGTTCCGCTTTTGGCGCATAAACATTATCGAAAAATTATATTGCGATAACTATCGTTATTGTTTTATCACCCAGCCCTAATTAGTCTTTTTGTTTGAATCCTGAAAACGACAACTCCCATGATTCAACGCTCATTCACGGTGTCATCAAGCTATGCCTTTGTTTTGAATAAGCAGCCTCTATAGCGGCGAAAATTACATATTGTGCCTTTAAGCCCTGAGTTTTCCTTAGTTCCTTGTCTAGTGTTAAAATTGGCTGCATCCGAAAGCTGAAAAATGCTGCCTTCTGAGGATGCATTCCAAGGTAGAAAGGCATCAAGGCACGTCCGAATCCAAAGTTAGCTTCGCTTCCTGTTTCCTGAGATACCTTCATCTGTATCCTTCACTGCCTTTGATATCACATAATCCTGTGCTTTTCATTTTGTGACAGTTAAGCTAAAAATAAAGATGGCATCTGAAAGTTGTGGTTGGTGGTCAGTTTGTGTGTAAATGTATGTTTCTGACCAACGTTTTCCATCCGTTAAATATTTGATTAGTTTTCACAAAAGCTCTCTCTATTTTGCCGTAGATCATTAAACCGTTACGCTGCCTACGAAATCAGTTTCGTGAGGTTCCTTCATGCGCAAACGCTCCCTGCAAAGTCATTTCCTGATTGGACAGCGAGGGAAAGAGTCCGCCGCCTAAGCTTTCGGACACAGCCTTTATGTTTAAGCCTGTAGTGCTTTGTTGTTTCTGGTAGTCATTAAAAGTTAGTTTGATTGTCACATGACTCTCTTGGATTATCTACTGCTGCTCACCATAACAGACACTCTTCAACCCTTACATTTTTTTTTACAAAAACATTCCTGTCCATTATTTCTTACCGTGCCTTTAAGAAACACAACTTTATATGTGAAACGAGCAACAGTTCTGATTGCAGCATGTTGAAAAAACATGTTTAAGCAGACTGCATTTGTCTATTGTTGTGCCTTAGATAAAGTTCAGATCAGATTCATGACCAGTTTATGCATAAGTCAGAGAAGATCAAGAAAAGTTTAATTACATGTGATACGACCCTTTTAAAGTTTCGCAACAGTGATCATCAAAACTTGATTTTGACTGTATGACTGATGCCAGTGGAATAAATTCAGTGTAGTATTAGGCAATGGAAAGTCTATATACTTAACCGTTGGCTCATCCAAAAACCCTCAGGCGTGACTAGCAGCAGAAAACGTCTGCCGGTTTCACCGACATGCACTGCATCTCAAAAACGATCTGGATAAAATACAGAATTAAGAGGCACGACCTCTAATTGAAAAAACCTTATGTCATGTATGAAGGTAGTTGGACGGGTCAGAACTCACAAAGCGAGTCTTGGCAGCTATTTTGTGAAGCATGAATAAACGCATCTGGGAGGAATTATCCTCATTATTACGGGACCTACGAGCGTGATTTATGCTTGGTCTTTATATGCACTTCCACTATCTCACAAAAATAAGCATTTTATCATGACGAACACACATTACAGCCACTCCCTCTGCTGTCTGAGCGTTTTTAATGCGAGCCGCAGACAGACAGGGCAAATTCACACATCGATCTTCATGACACAGAGTTGTGCTGACACTACAAAGAGTCTTGTAAGACACATCTGTGCAAGATTCTTTCTCCGGACCCACAATGACTAATACATAGTGATGATTTTTTATTATGCTCAATAGGACACGTTTTAGACCTCCTGACCAAGCATTGAAACAAGGTTCCTCTTGGATGCTCGAAGACCTTTTATTCATGCCAGATCAGGCTCAGATAAAGCTTGTAAACAGAGCAATAATTTCACATTTTGGGTGAACTATATCTTTAACAGATATAATGATATCTCATTAAAAAAATTACCTTGGAGTGATCAATCTCAATTCCATAGAGCAGAACATTTCCCTGTATGACTTCAGAGGCCAGACCCATGAAGGCTGTTAACTCATCTGTCTTTTGGCTATCGACGGACTGCTTTGTCATGTTCAGCTGTACCTGTCAACAAAAAGAAGAAAAAACATATCCATTCATTTATAGCAAGGTTTCCCAAACAGGGGATTTGTGAGTGAATGGCAGGGGGTTCATGAGTTGATGAAAAGTATATTTAATTAAATCATACAAATCTAAAATTAAATCGAAGATTCCTAAAATCAAAAATAACTAACATGCATTTTTATATATGTTTACCTGCATGCCATGTAACCATTATCTGGCATCAAAGAAATGTGAACATGAGAATGTGTTGTTAAGTTATTGAAATACTAACTTAAAATGTAAAATTACATAAATAGTTAAAAAAATAAAACATTTACTAAAACAGATGAAAAAGTGTATGTTTACCTACATGTCATGTAACTATTAACTTGCATCAATATTAACTTAAAATATAAAATTGAATAAATCAAAAATAAAATAAAAAATTTATTAAAAAGATGAAATATTCAATATGTTTACCTGCATGTCATGTAAAAATTAACTGACATCAGAGAAATGTGAACACATAATGTGTTGTTAAATTATTGAAATAATATTTCAAGTAAATATTTTAGGTCAAAGGAGTTTGGTTGAAAAAAATGTTTGAGAATCTGTGATCTATAGGAATTAAGAAATATAAAAAAAACACTTTCTTTACTGACTATAGTGAGTGACAACGATCCATATAAGAATTGATCATCCCATAATAACCCGCCACTTATTTAAAGGTGCTCTAAGCGATGTCATGTGTTTTTTAGGCCAAAACATTTTTTGTCACATACAGCAAACATCTCCTCACTATCCGCTGGCTGCCTGTCCCCTGAACACACTGTAAAGAAACGCGATCTCTGTAGACACCCCAGGCTCCACAAACAGCAACAAAAACAAACTGCAGCGACCCGCTCCCCAAAACATAACAAACTGTTCCAGCCAATGACCGACAAGAAGGGTTTGGGGGTGTGGTTTGGGGGGTTAGTGTGCGGATGAGGAGGAGGGAGGGTCTAGCTAGCCTCCGTTTTGTTTGACAATAGTTCGAACGTCAACAAGAAGTGACGTCACCCAGGATCGCTTAGAGAACCTTTAAATAAAATATTCCCTATTCTTAAAAAACACTTATGATATATGTGGAAGAGGCACATTCATTTTAAAAAGTACCCCATAGTACTCTTTAAAAAAAAAAACACTCACGAGTTCTCTGTGTATTTAGACAGGTTAGGCTCCCATGCGAAACAGCGAGAACCAGCTCTGAGCGAAAAGTTTCCATTGCAACTGACCCAGCATTCACCGATCCGTTAAATTAATGCAGTTTATTTTTCCGTTCGCTTACATCACCATTTCAGGAAGATGTGCCTTGTATGTATACGCACCAAATAAAACAGACTGTGCTCGTTTTGCAAATTGCTTAAAGAAAAACATATTTCTAACAGAGGTCATAGCCTGTAGAAATGGGGGAAATGCTGTTTACTCTATTATGAAATTCCAAAAGCACAAAAAAGTAACTGTGACAGCCAAACAGGAAATGTAATAGCACGTTAAGCGGATACAAATGTAATGTAAACGTAAAGAAAGTCAAGCAAACCTCTGAACAGCTCTTTATAAAAAAATCTTGAAGCAAAGGCTTGAGATTTTACTCGCAATCACACGCTCTCACTGCCACATGTGTTATCATATCATCACATCTGTGGTGGTGATAAGAGCAAAGACTCTGTGAAATACTAACAACATAATGATGGAGAGTAGAGGTTATCTAACAGGCCTTCAGAGGGAATGGTAAAGGAAGCACATATGGATTCCCACAGTGGGGTGTGGATCCCTGGATTCAGACGTCAGAACTGCAGGAGCAGATATTTTGTGTTTTCGAAACACATTTAAGAAATTAATCAGGGTGAGAGTGATGTTTTGAGGTACAAATGCTGGATAAGAACCAGGAACCAAAACATCAAGGGTTTTTCCAACTCTCAACACTGACATCAAGCAAATGTGCTTCAGGAGAAAGAGAAAAAAATCAGATGCTCTTGTTGATTTTACTTTTTAAAAGTAATTTGGCCTAAAGCATTTGACCTGGACAAGATCATGTTTTGGTCTAATCACATTCAAATACCTTAACTTACTGTTAAAATAACAGAGGAACACATAAAAAATAGTTTAAACCCAACACAAAGAGAGCTTTGCCCTTTGGCTGTTTAGATTAATGGGGTGTATGGAAACTTACCCAAACAATAACTACTGGGTATAAACGAGCGTGGCCAAGGTCCTCAAAACGTTTCACCATTTCTAGGACCCCTGAGAAGTTTGATCCACTCACCTAAAAACAAAAACAAAAAAAAAACATGTTAGTCACACCAAACTAAATTTAAGGGGGCTACATTTTCTAAATGATGTCTTTAAATACTACTGTGAACATGTATAACAGACTTACTCAAATTAAACAGAAGCTCTTATGAGTTTTGATTAGAAAGTTTACCTTATACACCCAACATTTCAATTCCATTTTTATTTTTATATATAATTAAACAAGAAATATAATGTGTCAATCAGGAACTGACGGAATCATAATAATACGTACATTTCTGTACAAAAGATTGGGGTAAAAAAAAAAAAAAAATCATATTTTTATTCAGAAAGGACACATTAAATGTATCAAAAGTGACAGTAAAGACATTTATAATGTAACAAAAGATTTCTAGTTCAAATGAAGGCTGTTCTTTTAAACTTTGTATTTATAAAATAATCTAAAATATTAAGCAGCACAACTGTTTTCAACATTAATAATAATAATAATAAATATTAGAATGATTTCAGAAGGATCATGTGACACTGAAGACTGGAGTAATGATGCTGAAAATTCAGCTTTGCCACCACAGGAATAAATTACATTTGAAAAATATAGTTAAATTGTAAAAATGTTTCAAAATATTGTTTTTCCTGTAAGTTTAATCAAATAAATGCAGCCTTGGTGAGCATAAGAGACTTCTTTCAAAAACATATTTTAACTTTTGAAGGGTAGTTTACGGCACATACCAGAGTTAATCCACACTAAATAAATTCATGTTTGCAAAAAAGCTATTTGGCTTTTAGTCAACACAATAGCCTAGACTTACTAAGTAATGTCAGCAAAAAAGGAAAGTTGTTTTACAGGGAGATCAAGTTATTATATTTTGATTCAAGATTTTAAGACAACCCATTTTTGAATAATATTAACAGATGAATCATTCACATTAAGACCAGTTACATGCATTAATTAAGAAATTCAATTTGGATTTATGTTGAGTTTAATGTGAAATTACTTGTGCATGTGTCTACCGTTGACGTACAGATATGTAAATGAAGTTTTGGGTTTTAGACAGGTACTCCGTATTACTCTCCTTTGCACATGATATGAAGTCTGTCTCAATCTGTGAAAAAGAGAAAAGAGCCCAAATTCAATAAAACAAGCAATATCACAATCAGGGCAGACAGAGAAAAAAAATATTATATGTTAATATCTAATGAATCATCCCTTTTATAAAAAGCAACACAACCACAGATGCTCTACATATGAAATCATATCATAGTCCTCATATCAATTCATATCCTGTCCCTGGTCTTGTTGAATATTTTGTACAGAGATGAAATAAACAGAAATAAACAGAAGTGTTTGGCACGGACTCGACCGTGAAGAAAAAATTGGAAATATGAAATGGCTATTGGAAACACATGTAGGGACTTATTCGCTCTTGAAAGATAACCAACCGCGGCTTTAGACGAAAACCAGTTCGCTCCGAGCTGTGGATTTACGAGATCATTTCGACATCTGAACCAGGTTGGGCTGTTGAGCCCACACAAATGCTGTTCACAGGTTATTTGTGGCAGACCAAGAATAAGCGCTTCATAATGACCAAAACCAAAAAAATCAGTTTCCATCAAGCCACACACCTCATTAGGCGTTATAGGTCACGCAAAAATTCTGGTAATGCTTTAATTTCCACACATTTACAATCAATTGACATTTCTGATCATTCTTACGGATTTGTAAACTATTCAAAAAGAGAAATGTGTTTTTACCAGGCAAGGTAACCGCAGTTACGTGTTGGGAATCATGTTGGCTCATGTTGTGCTTTAATCCGAGGTTGACGTAGGAATACATTACAGCCAAGAGTTATGCAGTATCACTGAAATGCCAGGATTACATGTAGCCAATGGAATTTTATAGTCTCCGATGGATTTAAAGTGGAAATTTTCGTGTGAGATTTACTTATGTGGCTTAAGATGATATATACACTACCTGCATGCTCTCAGCTCTAAATTATTTTGAATTACCACAGCTGAGGAATGTGAATATCACTCTCAGTCACATACGAAATGTCACGTTCGAGATCTGCACCTTATGGCGCACGGATTCAGACTTTAATCCTCCATTTCCAAGCAAAAAGTGTTCGCCCCTAGTGAACATGAGCCTTTGATGAAAGTAGACGGCAACCCGTTCCAGTTCTTATCTGCAGCATACACGGGTGTAATTATTACATCTCGCTAAAAGGATCATCTTATCACTCTCTGTTGTCCTTTATAACCAAAACACGCAGCCAGGGCCAATCGTACCACCTGCATATGCCTGGAACGGGCTCAACTCGAGTTCCACATCGCTGTAATGGAGACACTGTAATGGGGATTATATTTACCTAATGGCACTGGGACAAATTCAAATCTCCTGCTTTTCTTTCATCTCCCTCGAGTCGTAGGAACAGCTCGGGAGAACTGACCCCGGCCGGCACCTGGGGGAGCGGCAACGTCTGGAACCAATCAGCTGTACGGGACGCTGGGTGCTCTCATGTTCGCAACATTATCAAGAGGAGGACATGTGCTTGATGAAGAACTTGGAACGGCTACAAAGGAGGATGGTCTTCCATTGCATGGAGCCCGAATGAAACACATCATATTTCCTTTTTGTCAGTGCACTGGAAGATGGATCTCCTACCGCGAGGGCTACAATGCGAAGACATGTCTCAAGCTGGACCGGCTCCAAAAATCAAAGTGGAATTAGTGGGAAGGTGGTCACACTTGTACAAGACACCTTATCCATTTCAGCAATTACATCTAACGGTACGGCTAGATTATCGCTCAAGCCATCTGTGACTCCTCATGCTTGGTTTTTTTTGGGGGGGGGGGATTGGGGTAAAAGGAGTCGGGATGGAGAGAGATATATTTAAACATCTTAATACTCAATGCATTCCCAAGTAAATAATAACTAAACCGTAAGAAGAGGGATGTCATCTTCAACATACCATGTTTAGATTTTTCTGAAGCGTTTTGGCCAACTCGACGGCTTCTGCTTCAGCTCCTGCGATGATACACGCTGACATCGAAAGAGTCTCTTAAGGGAAAAAGAAAAGAATGTTTCAAGACTAAACAGATAAGAAAGTACAAGAGCATTGCCAAACTGAGTATATTTGATTTAATCTTAGTCACTGTAAGTTAACCTTGTTTGTAACCCAGTGTTGGAAATGCTACTCTGAGGCTTCACAGGGTTTCACAGACAGGGTTTAGATTAAGCCAGGATTAAGCCTTAGGTCAATTAGGACATTTAAGTAGCTTTTATAAATGTACCATAAAAAAAAAAACATTACTGGCGTCCATCTTGAGACAAAACAATGGCAGTGACATATTTTAAGATATGTCAGTGCAAGTTGCTTTCAGCTAAAACAGCTCAAACTTCCATTTTAGTCTGGGACTAGATTAAGTCTTTTCTGTGAAACCAGGGGTGAGAGTGTTGGTCAGCTAAACTACAAGTTCAAAATATTGATGCTATTTAAGAGGTCAGCATGAGTCAAACCCTAAAAAGAGAGTTTACATGGGTCTACAGGGGTCTCATCTTAAATATCTTCAATATCTCAAATACGACTATAAAATAATATAGTTTACTTTTACAATTTAAGTAGTATTTATCTGGAACAAAAACAATGAGGTTCTAGGCAACCGCATTAAACTTGAACAAATTTCAACTAAAGACAAACAAAAATCACAATTTAATATAACTGGATGAAAACAGTGACAAACAGAAACATTTCAATAATTTGCTACAAAACTGTGTAAAAGCGCTGGATTGGTTCAATAATTTTCTTGAAATAAAATAATAAAACAAAAACTAAAAGAATTTGACTGGGTCACAAATGCTGTGTGTTCTTTCTTGTGAGTAAATTCCTTAAGGAACAGGATTTATTTCATGTAATGTTATGGTGAAAAAATTTAATACAATGTGCAATAAATTTTTAACATTCTAGCTCAAGCGCACAGGACTCAAGCACATGAGCTTCTATCATACTGAAAGCTATCGACGTTAATCCTTAGTAACAATCCTGGCATTCAAACTCAAGGATAAATGGCTTTTTCCCGACCTTGCTCCAAAGGTAGAAACAGGGATATAGTGGACTAGGCAAAAGGAAACTTTAAATACAGCCGAAGGGATACTTTATTGTAAAGACAGACATCAGAAAGGGGTAAGTGGCCCAATACTCAGCCAAGTTTGAAACATTTTTAGGCAATTTGTTGTTTTATTCCACTTAGGTTGACATTATGGAAATGGGTTAAAAGCCAACAGCAGCTTAATGCACTGATTGAATAGACAGGGTCATAATCTTATTACCTGAGTGCATGGAAACGTTTGAACCACCAATACAATTGAACCACCACATACTGTATTTAATGGCAAAATAGAAAGTTCTTCAAATTCTTTGATTTCTGTCCAAACCAGAGAACTGGCCCCCTGCTTGGTCACTTTCTTACGGGTCATAATAGGTCACTTTTGTAATTCCTCTTAAAAAGATTGTTTGTATATAAAGCAGGCAGCATGTAGACATCTTGAAGTGGCGGTTTGCTTCTGTGGTTCAGTCTCTTTTTGTATATTTACATACAATTTACAAACAGTTTGTTTTTGCGCAATGATGTCTCTAACTGTGGAAAACAACCTATTTTGACTTGCCCAGTTCAAATGTATAATCAAGCAAGATCAACTCTGCAATAACAACAGTGAATGGCAATATTGTATTCCCAGCAATGACTAAAATCAGTGGCCTGTGAAATATGTTTTTCTTTATTGCACAACTTAAATACAATACCTTTAATAATAGCCTCCGCAGCTGCCAGATCTCGCTTGTATGTTACCTACAAAAAAGTGTTATAAAACATCACATTAAAGGACTGGGCAAAAATAACTGTTTGTGCTTGGTAGATATGTGCCAAATATGACTGAATATTAGTTTTGTGGTCGTACACATTGTTAGGAATGATTTACGGTTTGTTCCAATATGTATACAGTGAGGTCAAAAAAGTCTGAGAACAGTATGATTATGATTTTCATTTTGCTGACTGAATACTAACTGTTTATTTACAGTGGATTATCAGTGCAACAAGTAGAAACAAAAAATATAAATTAATTTGTGAAACTATACCAGACCTTTTTTCAAGGTTTAAATGGGGAAAAAATAAAAACCGAAAAAAAATTCAATGCCGTCTCAGACTTTTGGACCCACTATTTATGGCATAAATTCTATATGCATGACAGCGAAAAAGTCAATTTTCTTTGTTCCTTACTTTCCACAGAGTCGGTGGTCCCTCTATGAGTTTTGCATTCGTGCTGCAGTACTGCAGGGCCAAGTGTAGGCACTCTGTGCCAAACTCAAAGTCAAATTCACTGCACTGCAAAGAAGCAATCAGGACAAAAACAGAACAAAATGAAACAAAAAGCCCTTCAGTTTGATAAATGCTGCACTGCAAAAATGTTTTTCTTCCTCAGTATTTTTGTCTTGTTTTCCAGCACAAATATCTAAACATTCTTAAATCAAGTTACATTTACTTGAGAAGCTTGATGAAAACATTGACGAACAGCAGCATTTAACTAAATATTTTGCACACAAAAAAAAAGCAATGCAAGGTAAATAATTATTCTTTAGATAAAATAAAATAAAACAAAGTTGCACTGCAAAAATATAATCTTCTTCCTCAGTATTTTTGTCTCGTTTGCCAGTACAGATATCTAAACATTCTTAAATCAAGATACATTTACTTGATAAAAACTAACAAACAGCAGCATTTAACTAATATTTTGTTACAAAAAAAGCAGTGCAAGGTCAATAATTTTCTTTAAATTAAATTAAAAAAAAATAATAACAAAACCTGATTTGATTGGGTCAATAATTTTTCTTGAAATAAAATTAAACAAATTAAAATAATAATAAAATAAAAAGATTTTTGTCTTGTTTTCCAGTACAAATACAAAAAATTCTTAAAATCAACATAAATTTACTTGAGAAGCAAAATTAGTCTTGAGAAGTCTTGTTTTGACAAAAAAAAAATCTATAATTATATCAATTTTTTTTTTTACTTTAACATTTCTGCCAGTGTGGTAAGAAAAATAATCGTAATTCAGGAAATTAATTCTTTTTTTATATATATATTTTTCAGAAAACAAGAATTGTTATCTGATGTCATGTTGCTTCTCAAGTATTTGTATCTTGATTTAAGAATGTTTAGATATTTGAACTGGAAAACAAGAGAAATACCGAGGAAGAAAAGTATTTTTTGCCATGTGAAGTTACTGATGACATAATTTAGAAGAATAAATTATGTTTCTTACAGAAATGCATGAAGGCACGTGAGATTTTTGTATATAAAAAAAATGTCCCTGATTCTGGTAACACGTTGAAAAAGCTGAATAGAGTCCTTGAAGCGAATCGCTCTAAGACAGCGGTTAGATTACACAACCTAAATCATGCCACCCGAGACGTTAGGGGGGCAATATCTACAGCAATATTTCATCCTGGGTGGAGGGGAGAGCTTCGCTTACAGGGCTCTGTGATTTCAAGGCAAATTAAAGGAGAAAGTCCTGCAATCATTTAACCTTTGGCATTTTTTCCCCCCTTTTCATCAACACACAGCCAGACCCTCACGGGGTTGGATGTCTCTTCTTTTGTGAAGCTCAAGCTCTCTGAGACTCAATGAGATGGCATGCTGAAATGGCATCAGTCATTTTGAGGCTACCACAGAGAGGGTTTTGACACATGGCCGTTGGCTACATCCAAAAACCCTCACTCAAAACACCCACCTGAAATAACCTCTATTGTAAAAAGCGTCAAACGCGCTGAATTCTACATAAAAAAAAGAAGTATGGACTGTCTTATGTCACGTGGTGGCAGAGTCTCATAGAAAAGTGGGTTCAAAAAGCAAGGAGAAGCATATAAATCTTCGCAGACCCTTCACTGTTGGGGTTGGAGAAGAAAAGCCCCAGAAGAGTCGGGGTATCAGGTAACACCCAAGCGGGCTTGATATTACCCATTCTTCAGATTGCCTCATCCGCTGTATTTCTCTATGTCATGGTTTTATCTTTATTTAGAATTAATTGAGGACGGACAGCTGCGACTTGACACAGAAAACTCACGCTAATGTTCGATATCACAGCCAAAAACAACAGGACTGTGAAATCAAAGTTTTCCAGGAGCAAAAAATTCGGCACCCAAAAAATGGTCCTCTCAGCAGCCCTATAAATCTCAATGCTTCTTTTTAACACTTCTATCTGTTACTGTTATCGAAGGTTTGACCAAAGGCTTAATCGAATCCAAAGATTACAAAGTCCTACAGCAATAAACGAGGTCAAATACACTCCACCTCCATGAGAAACTTTAGTCAACATTTCATTGTTTGAGTTGATCTTGAGAGGAAATACTGTAATTCTGCAGTCAGCTACGTAACCTAGGCCAGACTAAACCATTATGATTTATTCTTCTGACACAACACACTACCATGGGAATAATAATAATAATAATAATAATAATACTCAAGTCACAGTGCCTTAGAGGAGAAGGTACTGTGGATTTGTGCAAATCTCAGGTACAATTAACAAAAGAGGCGTATTGCTCCAAGATTTGACCACTGAGCTTCTTTGTCATAGTGAGGTAATTGGTGTATTAAGCGGATAGTGGATATACTACATTAAAAAAGGTCACAAAAAATATTGGGATCAAAACTCAATGAGCAGTACATAAATATAATATATAATACAATTATTATGTATATAAATTATAAATAATTATTTATATATGTATATTATAACATATTTATTTAATAAAAAAGTATGTACAAAAATATTAACAAAAAATGACAAAAAAACTGTAAAATATTAGATATTTATGAGCAGTCCATAAATCTAATATAAATAAAAAAATAAGAATTATATAAAATAGTTATTTATATCAAAATACATATTTTTATTATAAAATATCTATTAAATAAATAAATATATATTATTTATGAGCAGTCCATAAATCTAATATAAATAAAAAAATAAGAATTATATAAAATAGTTATTTATATCAATATACATATTTTTATTATAAAATATCTATTAAACAAATAAATATATATTTCTTTATGAGCAGTCCATAAATCTAATATAAATAAAAAAATAAGAATTATATAAAATAGTTATTTATATCAATATACATATTTTTATTATAAAATATCTATTAAATAAATAAATATATATACCGTATATAAACAAATATTAAGGTGGAAGAATATCATATTGAGATTCAAAAGGCAACAAGCGGTAGATACATCTAAAATAAATTATAAAATAATAAATATATAAAATAATTATTTATATAAATATTTGATATTATAAAATATCTATTTTATAAAAATGTATGTAAAAACAAATATTAAGATTGAAGAGTCTCATGGAAAATTGGGTTCGCAAAACATCAGCAGTGTATACATAAAAAAGAATAAATATATTTAATTACAAATGCATATAAAAACATAAAAATACTGAGATGCCCAATATTACAATGAAAGTCACAGTGGGGATGTCAAGGTGTCCGAGGTTTGTATTATCAGAGGACACAGTCAACCTTAAAGTACTTTGCACATTGAAAATAAGGTGTATGCTAAACAATAAATGTGTCTGGGTTGCTCATACCCGCTGGTAGGCCTGGAAAATAATGTCGTAAAGAAATCCTTGAGGCATTTCACTGGCTCGGTACTTGGCTCTCTCCAGCGAGTGGTCCAGGTAGCCTTCTGACGTTGTTGCAATGACCGTGGACACCAGAGGACGTATCGTGCCCGAGGCCTGAAAAGAACAAGAAAGGTGGACAATAGGACAATTAAAAACATGCCCTGTGAAAATCTGTTTATTGGTTACTAAACAATGGTGCATTTGGGTCAGGCAATGAATCACTATCCTTCTCATATTCTTATGAGTGTTTCATAAACATCTGGGTTTTGCTTTCCAGCCCTTGTCATAGCCTTGGAGGGGAGATTTAAAAGAAAATCACAGAAATCCTGAACCTCACGTGTATCAAAGCCAGCAAAAACATTGCTAAAAACATCTTATCCGGTTTCATGCTGTAAGGAGTAGTGCTGAGAGGTGTCAACAATATGTTTATCTTAGTGATTTATGGACATTGGAACAGCCCGCAATGCAGTCAAACCACAAATGAAGCAGGATTTCTCGTCTTCTGCTGAATTATTCTGTTCCTGATACAGATTTCAATATGTTTACCTTGGAGGGACGGAATATTCTGTAGGTAGGGGATTCATGTTCTGTAGCATATCTAAAGATTTATAGATATTCAAAGAGATTCTCTTTTTGGATTTTTTTCATATTTATTATATAGCAGTAGTATTGTGAAATATTATGTAGGGCCCTATGATTTCCGCAATGCCAAAAACGTCACAGAATCTGGCCATTTTTGTAGGGCTGTCCACTTAATAAAATCACAATTCCCTGGTTTCACAGATGAAAATGCATGTTTGAGGTGTTTTAACTGAAAGTAAGTTGCACTGACATATCTTAAAATATGTCACTGCCATTGTTTTGTCTCAAGATACACACCAGCAATGATTCTTTCTAAGGCACGTTTATAAAAGCTACTTAACAAATCACATTGTACACACATTAACTCAAAAATCTTCACAACTTTTGAAATCCAAATAAAAGTTTGGTTTAATTTGAAGAAATTGTGACAAAAATATATTTCTATTGAAAAGAATGCACCTCTCAAAGTAATATATTAATAATGATAATAATAATACAACTATTTTTCTTATGTGTTTACATTTTAACAGTAAACCTCTGTTGTGCAGCAGAAATAAAAGGAATTGTTTAATGTTAATTTGATTACACTTAAAAAGATTGAATAAATTGGTAATGTTTTATGCCTCCATTTCCTTACCACAATTTAAGATGAAAAATATACGATAAACGTATTTTTTGTTAAACTTAAATTAAAAAAATTAATTAATAAATTGTATACATTTCATGGTTTCAATTAATTAGACATGGTTTTGACACCTGAGCGCAAAAAAATTTTAAGAAAAAAAAAGGAAATTTGGGAAAAAATAACACCGATTTCATAGGGCTTTATGCAATGCAATCAAACCACAAAGGAAGCAGAATTTCCGTCTTCTGTCGAGGTATTCTGCTCCCAGTTTTAATGTTTACCTTGGAAGGGTGAAATATTCTGTAGGTAGGGGATTCTTGTTCTGTGGCATACAGAGTTTTTTCATATTTATTATATAACTGCTTCTCAGTCAGACACATGTATCTCTGAAGCTTGCATCAGGAATTCTCCTTCAACAGATTAAGGTGGCCTGACTTTCACTCAGTCCATAAATTTGACAGGCATTTGGACCGTGGTACAGCAGATTATGAGGGGAGGGTTCAGATAGTGAAGACATTCATCACAGCAAACATTTCAGGGAGTGTTTTAAAATGAATTATTCCATATGGCAGACACACACAAAAATAATCATATTTGAATTTAATCTTAACTTTTGTATAGTTTACTTCAATTTTGGGGTTGATTATATTGTAGCATAATTATATTTTGGGCAAAGATTAACATAGGTTTTATTTATTTTTTATTTTCCAAACCACTGTAAAACTACATAAATCATTGATATTATATATATTTTTTAAAAAGCTCCAACCACACTGTTCATCATGTTAACAAACATAAAAATGCCCTGTTTTGAAAAAAGCAATATGGATAAAGAAAAGAAAACAAACCCCTTGCTCTTTAGCTGCTAGGGTGATTTTCAGCAGAAGATCTTCTTCCACAAAGGGACGTACGGCATCGTGGATGATGACCACTTTTGGTTTAGGCGTCAATGAGTCAGTAGTGTTACTGAAGGCCTGAAGTCCGTTGAAGATAGACCTGTGTCTGGTGGTTCCCCCGTGGACTACTTTTACCTTTGTGTGATTCAATTTCTGGACAATATTCAGCATCAAGTCATGATTCTCCTTAGCAACCACAACAACAACAGTTCCAATCCATGATAATCTGTCAAGAAAATACAGATAGAACAGGTTTAATTTGTCTAGTTTTCAAAAAAGACATAACAACATAATTGCTGTGACAATGGAGTAAAACAGGGAACAAATTGTATGCTATGCTGCTGTAAGCAGTGTTACTTTAGTATTTTTTTATACGAGTACTACATTGTAACATGCAAATCTTTTGCCGTGCTCTTTTTTGCATATTATATAGGCTATGGGGAAAAAACGGGACAGAGACCGTTTAAATATCTTAAGCTGCTTATTTAGGTGATATCTGTCATATAGTCTGGACGTTTAAATGTAATATTCCCCCAAAAAAATGAATTACAGCAGCTCTAAGTTGTTGCTTTTGTCCTTGAAAATTGAAGTGACAGCTTTTTAAATATGAAACTCCCAGCTAACTTTTACATCACAGTGCAATTTATTAAATATGCCAAGTCAATGTCAAGTGCTTTAAGCCTTTCCCAAGTTCTGCAGCATCTGCAGATGTTCTTAATAAGAATTGAACAGGCTGTTCTGGCCAAGATCTACATGCAGTAACGTTAGGTGTCCTTGGACTGCTGCCTGTTTACTTGGGAGGGGAAAAAGTCCTATTGTCAAACTAATAGACGTAATTGTGACAGGCATAATGATTTATTGTTATGCTGTTTTCATCTGCTAATAACAAACACCATCATGTCAAGTATTTTGGTTAACGTAATAAAATCAGTTTCGTACGCTCACGGACACGGAATGGCCAGTCTCACCTCTCAAAGGCTTGAATCGTGTAGCTTATCAGAGGTCTGTTAAGAATGGTGCAGAATTGTTTCGGTGTGGGCAGTCCCATCCTCTCCCCGGAGCCTCCGGCGGGCAGAACTACAGCTACCGGGAAATCCACCACCGCACGGCCGAGCCGGTCCTCGCTCCCCTCGGCGTCGCGTGTGAGCATACAGCGGGGATCCAGAGGCCTCTCGGAGGAAGAACAGCGCTCTTGCTGCATTTCTCCAGCGTCTTAATAAGTTCCTCACTTGCAGCAACTGTGGTCATGGAAAGAACCTGTTAACCGGTATTCTGCATTCTATGGGCGGGTGGTTAGCGGGGTTTGAGCAGTGTTTCGCGGCAGTAATGTTGCCGCTTTCCCGCGGGTCCTCTACACAGACTGAGCCTTTCATCCACATCCACTCTTCATGAGACTGCTGTGAACTGATATCATTGCAATGTAATGTATAGCATCATTCAATCTTTGTTAAAATTATATTCCGAATCAAAATACATGCACAAGTGTTCAAAATGTTTAAATGACAATAACATTCCTTTTGTCACTTTTGCGTTTAGTCACTTTTGCACTAGTTATTTAGGCTAGTTCATATTAAAACACTTAATAACGTGTTACTATTTTTTTACTAGTGCCTATTCGATTAGCTAACACTTGGGAAACTAAATGTGATTAGTTACTTACAGATAAATAAAGAATAATTACGTTACTTAGTTACTTTTATGGAATGTACGGCGTTACTTTTTCTCACCTGGGCTGGGCAAATTTAAAAAATGGGAAGGTCAATAAATGTTAAAACAAAGTAACTTGTGTTACTTATTAGAAAAAGTAACTCAGATATTTAGTTGTAAATAAAAAAAAATTATGTTACTTTACTCATTACTTTAAAAAGTAATCTGCTTACGTAACTCAAGTTACTTGCGCAGCGTTACCCCCAACACTGGTATGGTAAAATGGTAAATGGACATTTATATAGCGCTTTCACAGACCCAATGGCCACAAAAGCGCTTTACATATTGCCTCACATTCACCCATTCATACACCGACAGCGGTGTCAGCCATGCAAGGAGCCATCCAGCTAGTCAGGAGCAGCTGGGGTACACTGCACAGCGGCTGGGGTCTTGCTCATGGACACCTTGACACTTGGTCAGGTGGAACCAGGGATTGAACTACCAGCCGTCCTGTTTGTAGACAACCTACATGAACCACTGAGCCACTGTCGCACTGGTAGTACATAATGAATTTATAGCCTACTCTGGTCACTATTGAAAATAACTAAACTAAAAATAATAACTAGTAACAAAATACTATTAACTAAAATTAGTTAATAATTCACACATAACAAAAAAATAGATAGGCCTACTACTAACTTGTTTTGAAAGTTGATTGAAAATAGTCAGTCTGATGATTGGCTGCTAATGGTTGGCAGCTAGTGATTATGTAAATAGTTCAATCTTGTCTGTTCACCCTGCCTTGTCTTTATTTGCTCATGAAAGAAGCCCATGAAATGTTATTCTTAATAATTATTATAATTTATAATTTTCACTATTTTTAGAATGGATTTTGTCACCTGTTCCTCAGTTTCCTCAGTAAGCATGTTGGTAGTATATTGGCCCATTAATTCAAACGTGTTTGGAATTAATGGACTATTATAGTTCAGTTAATAGAAGTTGATAATGTGTCACCTCATCCAGAGATCAAAATTATTATACTGAGACATTTTCAGATGTTTTCAATTTAATGCTTTTACACCATAATAGCCAATATGAGCATCGTCGCTATAGTGCATCTTGTCTGAATAATGCTTGCACAAACTAAAAATGTTTCAAAGTCGAGGCAAAATATATTACATCAGCTTATACTGTACGTCACAATATTGTATTTTTTAACACAAAAAGGTTGTGCAAAACAATGAATTACACAAACAAATGCATATGTATATGTACAGACATTTAATTTACATGTAGCTATGCATTTCTCGAGTTTGAGAATTGCTCTTATTGTTGCTGAACACAAAGACATATCCCCGGTTTCACAGACAAGGCTTAAATCCAGTCCCAGACTAAAATGCATGTTTGGACTGTTTTAACTTAAAGCAACTTGCACTGAAATATGTTGGTGCCATTGTTTTGTCTCAATATGCACACCAGTCACCAGTAGTGTTTTTTTTCCCTAAGGCACATATATAAAAGCTACTTAAATGTCCTAATTGAACTAAGGCCTAATCCTGGCTTAATCTAAACCCTGTCTGTGAAACCAGGCCTTAAAGTATATACTACAGCTAGTGATTACCACACATATCAGTCAGTGATGACAAAAACTATTGGAATCACAGACATGTTTCTAATTTTTGTAATGCAATATGCATTTGTCATTGTCCATCTCTTTCGACACAGGGTCACATGGGATGCATGTTAATTGTGATTAAATTGGTGATGAGATTTAGTCTTTCTCTCTCCTGCTTCCAAAGAGTTTCACAGTGAACTCAGAGCCCTGCACTTGCTCACAAAGGCAGCACAAAGAAAGTTCAGTGCTCTTGTGAGCTGACGTCACACGCTCTCTCGTTCATACTGAGTTAATTTAAATGGGAAAATCTAGTAGCTCAGTCCGAGCAGAGACTCGTTTAGCTTTCTGTCCCAGTGCCCCCCTTTTTTTTGTGCTTTTTTAACTGGGTATGAACGTATCCCTCAGACTTGACTCCTGATTCGTTGTGCTGCCGCGTGTATCTTTTGCATTTGCAGGAGGTCACCACTGTGATCTTGTAGGTCCTGCTGCTGCCATCCTGGCACTGCAGCTGAATCCGTTGGGTCCGGGTCTTGTCGTTCACGCAGCGCCAGTCCTGACTGTTTCGGCGGTTCCAGAACTTCCTACTGTATCCACCGATCCAGTTGGGCAGCATCTGAGCAGGAAGACACTGTCCCGTGCACACCAGTTCTTTAACAGGGTTAATGCTGGTGCACTGGCCGTCTGAGATGTACTTGGTGGATCGCAGCTCTCTGCAGCCGACTGGGACTCGTTCTGTATTAAAGAGTGAAAAAAGAACAAAAAGTCGGCATGAAACGCAAGTCTTTTCTTCCCTATTGTGACATATCCAAGTGAAACAGCTTCTCGAACAAGAAAAAATGTAGGGCGGGACTTCATTTTGTCCACTGATTGGATGGTTGTGGTTTGCTATTGGTCGATCTCATGTGAGTGACAGGTTGTCCCGCCCTCGCACCAGTAAACAGAGATGTCATTGCAATAGGCAGGGGAAGTTATTTTGATTAAAGATTAGGAAGGCACATGAATAAATAAATAAAAATGATGTGCATGGATAAATCATTTATAATACTGCAATATTGCATAAAAACAGTTGATTTCATGATTTAATTTAAGATACTCTCTAAATCTTTAAAGATCAATGAAGAAAGACTTCAGGATGTAGGATTGGTGTTGTTCTAAAGTGTTCCTTCATGGTTTGTGAGCAGACATAAACAACAGTTGTATGGATGATATGCTGCTTTGTTTGCTTTATTTCAACCCATTTCTGAACTGAGCGGAAATGGCTTAATGTACAGATGAATGACGACTCTGAGCCTCTTATTGTCAGATTTCGCCGGTGCTGCTGGCTATACTGTCAGCATTGTTCTGCCTCAGAGCAGTGCCTCTTGTCAGCGTAACCCAAGCCAAAATCCATTCACACAGCAGCAACACACCACAGTTACAATGTACCCCCCTCTCTCCGTGACAGGACGTGATGAATGGGGATCGGAGGGACATTTTCTTCCTCCCTACTTCAAGTTACGGTTGTTCAAAATAAACAGGGTTCCCCCTGGAGAGACTAACTGAAAAACTGAGCTGCACCTCCACTCTTCCAGTCTGACAGGACTCGCTCGGCACACATTGTTTTCTCTCTGCTGCCCAGTGTGCTTGTGAGCCAAGAGACTATGTAATAATCCATATATAACCCTAAAAGGCATGGATCACTTTCCCTCTTAAAATGTAGAGAAACAATTGATTGTATATAATTAATAGATAGCGTTACTGTTTACATGTTGTCTGGCTGTTTAATGGTGGGTTTCACAGTGACAACTTACCCTATATTGTGTGACAACATGCCCCACTGGGTCAGCATGCGTTAACTAAAATATTTTTTTTTCCTATTTCCTACTTTTAGTCATAAACTTCTGAAGAAGTCTGTTTACGTTAAGGACTATGCATGAGCAAATAAATATGAGAATATTTAGTTCACACGATCAAAGACAAAGTAGGCTAATGTAAAAATTCCGGGAATATCAGAAAAGAAAATCAGTCTATGTGGAAAACATTGGATATATGTTAGCCTAAATATTTGTGTATAGGCTATTTTATTACCTCTTTTTTTTTAGGGTTGAAACTTTTATTTAAAATTCATTTAAATTTAGTTTAACTGACTTTAAATTTATAATGGGACAAAAATTCAACAGTAACCTGATGTATATCTTGAAGAGCTATATCTACTTTAACCCATAAAAATAGTTTTGGTGGTGGACTAAAATTAGGCTATTAGGTTGATGACGTAAAACAATCATTTTGTTTGGAATAAAAATTACATGTTTTAGGTTGCTGCTACCAAATGAAGATTCAAAAGGCATTTATCAAAATCAACCATAATTGTCACTTTTCATAGAGAAATGTCACTAAAACTGGTTTATTGTAAAAGTTCGTTCTAAATGGAACATTAGAACAATCTCGTGAAACACAATTTCTTAAAAAGAAAAGCTGCGATTAAATGAATAACCACTACTAAAACAAGTGTGATGTGTGGCGAGGCGCGTGCGCTCACCTCTCTCGTGCGCTGCGACGCCTCTTCCACCGGTGCGCGCGCGATTCAGAGACGCGTTGCTCTGAGTATCCTCAACGGGACTGACCACATGAGAGTAGAAAATCTCCGTAGCATCATTCTTCAAAGTCAGACCACTCCTTATGAAGAAGCAAAATAAAAACATGAAATTGCACGATTCGGGTGCGTTTATATACATGGTGATGTGAAATAACCCGCAGCCAGTGGAGAGATGCTCCTGGAATCTGAGTGATTCTCACTCACTATCATGTCTTGGGTTATATATACAGTCAGTGTAGGCTATATATACACGCTCCCGCCTCCAGCTTTGGCAAAGGCTCAGGTGAGCGGAATGATAAAACAAGCGTCTCTCCTCTAAACCACACCCAGTCAAACACTCAACCCTGTGAGGTGCTCCAACATCTGGAGTCAAATGAATGGTTTCTGGACTCCCCGAGAGCCCATAATTCACTTAGAGATGTTTGTGCTGTTAAACACTCAACGTTTTATATAAGCAAACTCTGTTCATGATTTTTAAAGAGTGTTGCAAGCAATCTGCCCACAAAATAGTTACTGTGAAATCAGCCCACTTACGAAAAGAGACTGGGAAAACATTGTTTCCTCATTTAAACAGCAATTAATCAACAATAATCTGTTTTGGCAAGTTGATTCAATCGGTTTATTGAAAATGATGTGAAAACGGCTTTCCCTGTGGCAAAGATATACGTTTGATTGACTGATTAATTGTTTGACATATTGATTGATTGATAAACTAGCAATTATTGAATACTGCTTAAGGCTAATACGAACAGTTACTGTTGGTATACTATTTCTATGGAAGGCCACTCATTAACATATATAATTTGCATACAGGTTGACTTTGAAAATGAAAACTGTGAAATAAAAAAGGAAATAAAATGAAACCTAAACTTTTATTTTGAATTGTGTCACTATTATTGCGTGAGCATTAAGAAGCTTTGTAAAAACTGTTTGCAGTTTTTTTTTTCACGTTTGCCTTTTCATTTTAATATTGGCAGTCTGCCTTGTTATTGTAGTGAAAATGAAATGTCCAATCACCAAATGCATTTTATTTTTCAATTTGACAGGGATGATGCATTAGTCACTGTAAAAAAAGGTGACTAATGCATCATTAGTCATTTTCAATTTTGTCACATATTTTGCATACATTGTTCTATAATGAAATGGTTAATCTGGTTTAAGTTTTCATTTTTATTATTTAATTGATTTATTTAAAATTGACAGAAAATGCCTTCCATTTATTTAATGATTTAAAACTATAGTATGATCACTGGTCTTTAATAAAGATAACGATATATATAGCCTATCTATTTTATAATAATAATACAATGATCTCCACTGTTTGGCCGTCTAACTAAATAATTAAGAGTTAATAAAAGACATGCCCCTACCTGAATTTGCATAGCCTATTATTTTAATAGCAAACATGCAAACGCAAATAGACCTGCCATAAACGTGTGCGTCACGTGGTGGAGGCTTAACAACATTTTAAAGGAAAGTCCTGCCACCTCATGGACAAGCAAAGACAAGAACAGCAACTAAAGGTTTGAAAGTGCTTTAAAGTTCCCATGACGCTGTCGGCGTGCGCGTTCCTGTGCTGTCAGGGGCTCTGAGAAGAATTGCTGAGTGAGCTGTGATTGGTCATCAATTGATTTTTGGGAAAATCACAAGAAAATTAAGATCATTAATTACACGATTAAGCGTGACACCGATTTGACCCACCTATCAAATATAAATAGCTTGAGATGTAGACAGAAAAACATAATTTATAAAACATCGAACATGTTTACATATTATAATTGTTATTTTATGCATATTATATTTCCCTTTTCATATTTCCCTTCCATTTCTCATCCACTATAAGAGGGTTGATATGTATGTTCCTGGTCAATCAAGTTTCCCCATGCTGAGATGTGTGTGGCTCAACAATAACAAGGTTCGATTGCCTGACTATTTAGTGTGATTACTAGTTTTTAAAGCTTTCATTTGTATGTTCAAGAGCAAGGGGGCAGATCCAAGGGGTTTCCAGAGCTCCATTTAACTGCAGTTTGACATAACTTTACCTGTAAAACAATAACATTCTCTCCATTTTAGGTCACAGATGTTATCAAGGTAGTTTGCATGTGTTATTGTAACTCCCCTTCTTTCTGTCTGCCATGCATACACACATGCAGTCACTGGCACTGACACCAGGCCTGTCTGCGTGTGCTATAATCCGCTTTGTAAAGTGTCTAGAGACGGTGACAGAGCTGAAGAACATGCAGGACCTCCACACTCTCTGTGGGAACCTGAGACCACCATCTCTCTCTCTCTTAAGTGCATTGTGTATTTCCTTATAAAGACCACAGTATAAACATTGCTTGATATTTAAATGTTAAAGTAACAGCTAATCAGAGTTTTTAAAATGCAAACGCTGCTCTGAGATCAGTTCTGATTTATAGACTCTTGAAAATAAAGGTTCTTTATTGGCATCGTCCATGAAGAAGTCTCTGCACAAATTGTTCTGTAGAGGGAATTTTTTTTTTTTATTATTAAAATGTTAATATTAAATTATTACAATTATTAAAACCATGGTTCTTTTAAGAACTGTTCGCTGAAAGCTTCTTTGCCAAACCCAAAATGGTTCTTGGCATCATTGTAAAAAAAAAACCTTTTGGAGCCCTTATTTTCATGGCAACCAAACACAAATATATCAGCTGAAGAGGGAATATTCTTTGCAGTCTTTGTATTGGCAAAAAGTGTCATTTCAGACAATAATGCATCTTTTGTTAATGTTTCGGCTTTATATCTGATAATCTGAACCCCTTCACACAAGATCCTGAAGATCGCCAATACATCCTTTGCCATCTGTGCAGTTTTTAGATTGAAAAGTTTGGCATCCATAAACATAAACTTCTAAAATTATAACCAAAACATATCTGAAAATGATGTAAAATTGATATATGGCAGTTTTAAGCAAATTACACCATTATGCATTTGAACACTGGTTGAGACAAGACAAGAGTTTTTTCATTTCTGACAATATTTAGTCATCCATTTCCGACATTAGATAAATAGACAACCACAAAGCCAGTAGGTAAAGTAAAGCTCTCCTCTAACAAAGAACTAATAACTAGAAAATCAGTTACAGGTCAGCACGGCTCAAGGAAGAGGTGTACAGCGTTAGTGTTGCAGTGATGGAGTATTTCATATTTTTAATGTTTCAACAGCAAATGTATCACAGTTGACGACTTTGTATGTTTTCTTTAGCAGCCGTTCAGGTCTAGAAACTCCCTCAGTGGCCAAGTCCATCACACAGCTCTCCATTATGAACCTGTACAAACACATCTCAGCAGAACCATCTACGACTCGAGCAAACCTGCGTCTGACACACTGACTGTCAAACTTAGACGATCTCCAGACCCCTGCCGCCACTCTCGTTCGCATGATAAAACATTTGACAAGCCCAAGTGGTTTAAATCAATGAAAAACAGCTCTCACGGTGTCATTTCAATCTCAATAAACACTGTCAAGACTAATGTGTGTCTTAAAGATATGTTTCTTAAACAGATGTAGTAGGTGACATCTGATATTTGACATATGTTCATCAGAAAACATGTGAGCTAATAGTTTATCACTTAAAGATGGAAAATAGATTTATTTGCTTTGTGAAACATTATGGTATTTCAATATCAGATGTCTCCAAAAATAACTTCTCCATTTAAATGAATTCTACAGTTTTATGAAGCTGTTGCCAACTATTAATTGTATCCTTTTCCATAACAACAGACTAAGAAATTTAAGGCATAGGCAACAATATATTACAATCTTTCCTAAAGCAAATCCTACATTACACACATGTGATTTTCACATACATAAATATATAGATTTTTCCAACATAAATGTAAAAAGCTATTTAAAAAAAAAAAGTCACTAGTAGACCTTTCATCCTGTCTGTGCATTTGTGTGGCAAAGCTTTTGGTGGTTTTTGCCCTACATCATGTGCTTCAGAAGAGCATCCTGTGCAAGAACCATGAAGAAACCTCTGGCTGATGTCTTAGATGGGTCTTCAATGATGATAATGATGGTTGCAGGGTTGAAATGGAGAGTCGTTGTGATTCAGTCTGCAGTAACAGAGACTGCCACAGAGTTAATGTCCTCGGTTTGGTTATCTGAAGAGCTGATGGTCTCACTCTGACTGATGGAGAGCTTCTCCAAAGTGCCGGTCGTCTCCTCCAATGCCTGATCATCCTCAGCTGTGTGTGAGAAAAAAAGAGCTTGATTCACACAGATGACTTCACATCAGTCTAAGCTATTTTAATGACATTATCTCGATATTATTTCAACAACAACAAAAAAGAAACTGGAAAGCCTTCTATAACTCGTTCATTCATGGCATAATATTTCTCCTGGTTTCCACGTTAGCGCTGTTTGATCTGATATGGTTTATAACAGAGAAAATGTAAAAGTAATTCAAAAAGATACAGCACAAACAGTGAAGTTTGATTTACGAAACAAAGGCTGCATTCAAAATCGCCCCTTATACACTCATTCACTACTAATATAGAAGGAGTGAATGAAAACGAGTGAGTGAATTCAGACTATTAGTGTGCCGGAAGGGCTGCTGCTTTTGCACAGTTTGTGCTTGCGGTTTAATAATCATTCAGAACTTTGCAGACTGGCAGTTCCAGTAGTAATGAAAAGATTTATCTTGAACTCTGTCATGGAAACTATGTACAAAACTTAATTAAACAATTTAATTATCAATTAAAGAGGAATTTATACCTGCATGATAGCTGTAGCTGTTTGGAAAATGGATAGATGGATCATAATTGCTTTAGTTGTGGGCGCCATCTTCTGGTCAGATGCGGGAATTCATTCGGCGTGCAACTCTCACAATGCATTATGGGCATTCTCTAGCCGCTGAGTGTATATAGATTGTACACTCGTTATTGTGGTGCATTGTGGGATTAAATGAGTTCACTCGATAAAATCCACAATGGTTTCTGACAACACTACAAATGACTGTCCCCTCAAATAGTGTCCTATTTAAGGGTATGGGGGGCGATTTCGGACACAGCCAAAGACTTTTATGATTCAGTTCTTGTTATTGAATCAAAAACATACAGCGTGAACAGTGTAGCTTGCTTTCCGAAACAAATAACTCTTTTAATTAGATTCTTTTTAGTGAATCAAACACATACAGTGTGAACAGTGTAGCTTAATTTGTGAAATGATTGACTTGTACGATTTGGTTCTTTTTAGTGAATCAAAACCTTGAGTTGGAGTGTTAAAAGTGTAGCTTGATTCCTGAAACGAATGACTCTTATGATTTGGTTCTTTTTAGTGAATCAAAACCTTGACTTGGAGTGTTAAAAGTGTAGCTCGATTCCTGAAACGAATGACTCTTATGATTTGGTTCTTTTTAGTGAATCAAAACCTTGACTTGGAGTGTTAAAAGTGTAGCTTGATTCCTGAAACGAATGACTCTTATGATTTGGTTCTTTTTAGTTAATCAAAACCTTCCAGCATGAACAGTGTAGCTTGATTCTTGAAACTAATGACTCTTATTATTTAGTTCTTTTAGTGAATCAAAACCATGGCTTAGAGTGTTAAAAGTGTAGCTTGAGTCCTAAAAAGAATGACTCTTACGATTTGGTTCTTTATATGAATCGACACCTTACAGGTTGATTACTAAAAAGAATGACTCGTATTTCTTTTTATCTCATTAAATTAAATTCAGACCGCCAGCTCACAATTTGTTTGAAATATAATTTCTTCTTGCTGAAATGCTGTAGATTAAATAATGGCAGAGCAGAAAATTATTGGTGCATGCCAAAAGAATATGGTATTACCATGGTACGACACCCCATAAAAAAATATTAATGCCATTGTACTTGTTGTAAGTGCCACAGTAAAGCAATACAAATTTGATTTGGATACCTTTGGCCTGTTTCTGTAGTCGTGATGCTGAATCAGCTTCATGTTTCTCTCTCTGCTCCTGTAACATCTTACAGACCTTCTTATGGCTGAACCAGTGCAGCTTCTGACAGGCCGGGCCACAGTAGATCACCTGAACATACGCACAGATTTAAGCAAGCACCTCAGGAAACCCAAAAAAAAGTGCAACAATAATAAGATCAAACCTGATATTTACCATTTTGCAGATGGAGCATCTTTTCTCTGCCCCTTTCTCACCACAGGATGTGCAGAAGTCTGCGTCCATGAAGCCCACCTGCCCCGTGATGGCCTGGGTGAGCACTGACAGAGCGGTGGGGTCACTTCCCTGTCGGAAAAGGACTGGTGAGGCTTCCATAACTGGAATATGGTTCAGTCTTTCTAGCTGAGGCTACATTTCCATCATTTTATTTCAATCCCATTATCTTCGACATGAGCAAATAGAGGTCACTGTAACTCACAATTTCCACTGGAGCGATACTCCGGACCAGCTGCTGCAGCAATGTGGCATCACAGTATGGAAATTTCCTAATGCACTCCCGGAGGAACTTCTCCTGGAATACCGGGAAGCCGTCACTGTCTCGCCCTTTCATAAGACTGAGAAGAGATATCCGAGTTCATTTATAGATCACAAGAGGGCCTTTTAATTACAAGTTTGTGGTCGTTAAGATTTCAGCATCATTACTCCAGTCTTCAGTGTCACATGATCCTTCAGAAAGCATTCTAATATAATGATTTGCTGCTCAAGAAACATTTATTATTGTCAATGTTGAAACCATTTTTTTCTGAATTCTGAATACAAATTTTAAAACAACATTTGAAATAATTTTACAGTCACGCTTGTTTAATGTATTCTTGTTGAATAAAAGTAATCATTTCTTTCTTACTTAACAGAAACCTTTGAAAAGAAATGTATATCTAATATCCTACCTCTTGATGAGGCCATCAAGCTTGTCCTGGCGATCTTTCAGGAAAGAGCCACATTTCTGCAGCACACAGCTGAGGTAGTGCATCTTCATGGCCAACACTTCATTCATATCCTGCTGTTTGATGCACTTCTCACAGATCAGCTCCAGAACCTGGAAGACACAAGACGGCTTTACACACTTGAAATAGTTAACCCTGGGTCAATTAAAAACCCAGGTTTAACAGAATCCTGGGTTATCTTGCTTCATGTTTCACACTGCTCATACTTAACCCGTTGTTACCAATTAATCCTGGGTATTACACTGACGTTTCACACTGTACATTCCTAAACCCTGGGTTAACGTTCTTATTTGCTGTGTCAGTGTCATTGATTGGACGAAAGCAGCACACGACCTGCACTAGCATTGCCCGTAATCATATTACACATTGTCGACTGTAAAGTTTTTTTTCTTTTCAGACTATTAAGGTAAAAATTAAACATTATCTTTTCCGCCATTCCCCCCTCAAAAGTTAAAACGACTGTTTATATACAATGCGCAGTGTTTCCGTGACTGTCCGAAGAACGTGAATATGAGGGACGCGATTGGTTGTCGCATCATTTCATGCTGCACACGTTTGACACTGCAAAAGTGGCACTAACCCTGCTCTGGAACAGGGTTTCATAACACAGGGGGGAAAGCAGTGCTAAACCTGCTTCTAAATTACAAGTGTGAAACGTTCCTTTACTCTGGGTTTACTTTGGGTTTAGAAGAACGATGATAACCCGGGGTTAAGTGCAGTGAGAAAAGTTATTAAGATGGTGCTGAAGTTGGGTCAGGTTTCAATTCAATCAAGTTTATGAATCTCAACTCAGCTCTGAGCATAATGCATTAACATAGCAACTGACCTTGCGACACTTCTCAAGTGCTTCCACATCCATCAGCAGAGGGTTTTCTTTCACCACCATCACTATCTGCAGCATAACAAAACACAACAACATATAGTCTTAACAGGATGAATTATGTTTTGGCTATAGTCACTGGTTTGATCATTTTTTTTAAATGAGACTGCTTTTTATCACCATCATAATTATCAGGTTTAGAATGACCATATTGTAGCATGTTAGCTTAAAAATTTAGCTTTTCGAGTTAGATTTTGGGGCTTTTCAGCCTTTAATTTGATAGGACAGTATAGAGACAGACAAAAAACAACCGGAGAGGAGAGAGGGGGGAAAAGACCGGGAAAGGCCCATAAGCTGGGATTCAAACTTGGGTCGCCTGAGGAGCAGCAGAACTATATGTCACAAGAATATGGTTCAGACAAAAAAACTACCTTAACTGGGTTGAGGTTGGTACTCATGATAATTTTGTGTAGCGGTCCAGCGAGTTTAGAAGGGAGTTTTGGTTCCTTTTCCAGTCCCTGTGGTTTTGTGTAGTAATCCAACCTCGCACGGGAGAAGAAGTTATTGATTACGGTCACACAGTCGTGCTGCCCTGAAAAAGATGTAATATCATTTAATCTTCACATTAAAAAATTTGAGGCCAGTAAGAATTTTTTTATGAATATTATTTTTCAACAAGGAGATACCAGGCAGCACAAATGATTTCAACATTGATAATAATAAGTGTTTCTTGAGCAGCAAATCATCATATTAGAATGATTTCTGAAGGATCATGTGACACTGAAGACTGGAGTAATGATGCTGAAAATACAGCTTTTTGCCAACAGTCATTTTAAATTGTAATATTTTACAATATTGCTATATTACACTATTTTGGATCAAATAAATGCAGCCTTGCTGAGCATTAGAGACTTCTTTCAAAAACATTTTTAAAAATCTTACCAACTTTGGTATATCATACAGATTTGACCATTAAAGTACACTGTTTTCCCCATAATGCCATATTTTTGGCATACCTACAAAAGCAGCCATTTGTGCTGCTGTTCTGCCGACTGAGTTCACTGCATCCGTCTCGGCTCCAGCATCCAACATCATCCAGGTGATATCTGTCTTTCCTGTTCAATACAACGGATATGTCATACTGTATTACTGGCATAAAATATATTTCAGGACACATTAAGGCCCTGATATACTCACAGCGAAGTTCTTCGTTTAGGGGTAAAAAGTAGTTTGAAATAACTTTGCAGCGATATATCGTTAGCGAACATCTGACACCGCTCAAACTGCTGAGAGCGACATTTAAATGAATATGTAAATATGTGCTGCTCTCTTTCCATCAATAACAAAATAAATTCACAACAAAACTGACAGCGGTGAGCAAACAGCAGTTAAGCTCCCCCTAGACGTCCAGCGAGGGGGAGAGAATGTAATTTGGGCCAAATGGGTTGAGCTAGAATATCCAACCACACTCTAATACTACCCTAACCCTACCTACAACTCTATCCCTCCACCCCATTAGACGTCCAGAGAGGACTTTGACTCTGGAGTGAGCACCACTTGAACTTTTCTGGGAAGTTCGCTTTGGCAAGCTGTTTCAAACTCCCACAACGAACTCCAAACGAACTTCGTTTTGACATGATTTTGTTCAAAATGACGTCACACCAGTTCATACTTCGATTTAGCTTGACGTATATCAGGACCTTTATGGTCAAAATGACAATATAATACTAGCACAAAAAGAATTTAGCAATTGTGTTTCAGACCTGAGAGTCCTGCAAACATGAGTGCGGTGTATCCATGTTCATGTTCGTTGCAGTTGACGTCAGCTCCGTGCTGTAGCAGCAGTTTGCACATGTCTGCCTTGCCCTTATATGCAGCGTGCATGAGAGGGGTCATGCCATACTGAAGAAGAAATGCAAACAATCGAAACAGCATTAACCACATATAGCATGTTCACATATATTTGATTATGGTGTGTAGACATAAACCCTGATAACTCCACTTAAAAAAAGCACTCAAAACATTAACCTGTCAGTGCAATCACTATCCAACAAGTAATAGGTTCATAATAATCTTTTTTTTTTTTCTTTTGTTTGTTTTCAGCTCCAACAGAAGGACACATAGGCTAATAAAAGACGGGCCAAACAACCATTTCCAGGCAGCTGCTTTGAAAGCCCACAAGTGTCAGTAACATCTGATTTGGACAGATGTCCAAATCAAAGTCACTCTACACGGTCATAAGTACTGTTTAAAGTATTGACAAAGAACTGGCACTAACAGAGAGGAGAATAAAACAATGTTTTAAATGTTATTATAATTAATATAATGTATAACAACACTTCATTACCTCATCCAGACAGTTTACCCTGACATCTTTGGATCCAAGCAGTCTGGAGGCTTCTTGCACATTACCTACAAATGGTCAACCACAGTGATCAGACAGTGACCGACCAAGATAATTATTTATACATCATATTTATACAAAAATCACAATTATTAATACATCAACAATTATACATAAGAGCCACACTGTAAATGTAATGCTCAATGATCATTGTGATATATTTTCATTGAGAAAAAACATAAGTCTAAATGATACAATAATGATGCTTGAATAATTCGAATACAATAATAATAAAAGTGATTTTAATGGTACAGAAACGTATTTATCGTAAACTGTACTTTGAATATTATAATCTATACAGTTTAACTGAATACATATTCAAGTTTTTAAAATGTAACACATCAAAGAGTAATTTAAAAGCACAGAGAGAAAGCATTCCGTATGCAGCCATTGCTTGCAGATTTTTTAAACCAATATTAAAATTTTCCGAACTGGTAATTGTGTTAATCTGCAGTTCGCCTGTTAGCGTCATGCTATATCATTACCTGCAGCAATAACCAGAAGTAGCTCTTTCTCTGTGTCGGTCAGGTCTCCTTTCTTTGGTGCAGACATTATTAAAGTCAAAGTGACGCTTTTGGTCTTAATAAGCAATATATAAGTTAACTGTGACTGGTATTAGCTCTGTTCTAAAGAGATTGATCCACAGACTCTTGAGAGACTGACTGGCACTGACGGGTTAACGGGTTGCTGTCTGCAAACGGACTGAACCAACTGCAACAAAAAAGCAGGGGCTCTAACTCTATAAGTGTCGTCTTCGGTTGTGTTTTTAGGATAGTAAAAAAAAAAATATATATATATATATATATATATATATATATAATACTACATTTTAATGGTTTTACTTGGTATGGGAGTAGTGAAATGCCATTTGCATATGTTTAGCAATGTGTGTCCCCCCCCCCCCAATCTTATTGGTGGTGTTTCGATCCTAGAACTTTAATTCTGTACATCGATACATTTTATTTTTCAAAATAAGAGAAAGATATTAGGGTAAATATGTCTCAAACATATGCATTTTACTAGAACTAGGGGTGCAATACACTTTAAAATTATATTAATTGAAGATATAGTTTTTTTTTTTTTAAATCACACCACCTTGTGACCCTTTAAAGTGATTGAAAAGGATGAATTGTTCATATAAGCAACATACAAATATAATACCATACTGGAAAAATGCAAGCCTATAATATTGTATATTTAAAAATATAAAAGAGAGGTATTAGACACAACAACACCAGGGCAAATGCTTTTAGCGATTAAAACGAGTCGGACTAGGCACTTCGCATTGGGTTAACAGTGCAAGTGGGACTTTGCTTATTTGCATAAAGATAAAGAACGGACCAATGGCGTTAAACGTGTCTACCTGAGCACATGCTGGACAACCTCTAGCTACAGTCATCTTGCCTCAAGTTGGAGCAGAGAGTCACATTTGCGGGAAAGGTGTACACTAGATATTTCATCATGGCTTGTGGTGGTTTTGTTTGCTCAAAAACTTCTCTTTGTATCTTGAACCTTATTTATGTGGTAAGTCAAGCAGTAGTTAGTCCTATAAGACTTTTTCTTATTCATATTAACAACAACTTTGGTATTTATTTAAAAGTCCGTTTTACATAGATAATATTCCTTTTATCCTTTACTTTACATTGTACATACATGAACATTAAATGTGTCTGTAAAATGTAAAATGAATGTTTATGTGAATTGTTATCCTGATATTCATGATTTAGCATTGCACTGTCTTTTCTGAGCAATTTCTGATTTCTGTTTTCAGATGGTCAGTCTTCTAATGATCAGTGTTGCAGCATGGGGCAAATGGTTTGGACTAGTGTCTAGTTTCAGCGTGATGGCTGCTGTCATCGCAGTTGGATTTTTTCTCTTCGTCGTGGCTATTGTGGGATTGTGTGGGGCTGTAAAGCATCATCAAGTCCTCTTGTTCTTTGTATCCTTCCAATGTACTGATTCAAGAAATTCTCCTATGTCTAAACAAGGTTTGCCTCTGTTCAACACATCAGTCTCAGTTTGTGTGTTGTACTTTGGGCCCTAAACTCACATTTACCAATTTTGCTGGCTTACCTGTTTGTAATGATTTCCTTTTTAGTCAACAGCTTTTTAAATGTGCCATAAATGATGGAGAAACAACCTTAACTGTTCTTTAGTACATGCTCGTTCTCTTTCTGGTATTCGTCTTGCAGTTTTCAGTATCATGTGCCTGCTTAGCTATTAGTAAAGAACAGCAGGTAATTATAGTCTCTAGTAATACTTTGACATGGTGATACCAGTTTCCTCATTCCTCAAGCAAGTTGGTTTCAAATAAACGTTTTGTCCTCCTGCAGAACCTTCTCCTGGAGATAGGATGGAATAAGTCTGAATCAATGCAGAAGGATTTGGAAAGATCATTGGATTGCTGTGACTTCCTTCAAGTTAACTACAATGAATTATGTGATGCTGTAAGAACTATTATTCTGCTTTATCCAAGACTTTTTTTTTTTGTATTATGAAGTGTCTTCTGATACATTTCGTGTTCGAGTTGAACTTAATGTGGGGGGAAAAAACAGCATGCTTCTAGAAACTTCTTGAACAAATAGTCTGTGAATGTGAAGTCACGCGGTTTATACAGAAAGCTTTGGTAAATATGTAGTTTTAAGTGCTGTTGTATTTGAGTAACTCAAGATGTAAGGTTAATGTATTATAAAGCTTCCATTTTTGTTGTAAGCTCATAATTAAGTGACTAAATGTAGGCTTAATGAAACATACTTCTACAATGACAGCTGACAGACTCTTTAACCGCTTGAACATGGTCTGATGTGAAGATCAGCTGAGTATGAGATCATATTGTTTATATGCGCTTAACTAATATACAGTTTTTATTGTAGTTGTAAAGATTATTTTATGCTCTATTTCTGTCTTCTCTGTGACTTCAGGCCTGTTTCAATGAACAAAAATGCACACCGTGTTCAGAAATAATCCAGGCCTATGCTGACGACGCTCTGCATTTTGTTGGAGGAATCAGCCTGTTTTTCAGTTTTACAGAGGTGAGCAAACATTGGACATCCTTTGGTTCGGAAAACACGGAAGATGAAAGATGGAAATATTGAATTAAGCTATTAACTGCTTAGTCCGTGTATTTCAATTTTGGTGCTTGTTTCTTATTTTTGTTAAGTTTGTTATTTTCCTTACGGTTTCAGATTCTGGGCGTCTGGCTCGCATATAGATACAGGAACCTGAAAGATCACCGGCAAAATCCTGGTGCTTTCATATAGAGCACAATGGTGGGACACAAATATTCAAGACTTTTAATGTTAGTTCTTGAATGGACTTTTTGTCTTTTATGAATCTTAACAACCTTTTTCATTTGTGATGTGTTGTTCCTCTCGATAACAAACCCAATTACTTTATTTTTGGGATATAATAAGAAATTAAATGTTCAGTTAACTTTTTAAATATTTATTTGTGAAACAGCCATTATGATTTTGCATCTTTAAAATATTTATTATCACTGATTATGCAAGTAACTGGGCTTGAACTTTGATCCCAATTGAACAACTCTTACAAAGATAAAGAGTTGGACTGGAATGGAAAATTAAAGACTTGAAAATACATCTTTCATTTCAGATTGTAAATCAAAGGACAAACATTTCCTGCTTTATACATCAAACAGTAATGTCATTGCAGTAAGCTCATTTGCTCTCTAGACGCTCAGTAATAAGCTCAAACTACACCCAAGCAATTTCCACATCATTCTAATCAGGATATGACCAGGAACTTGTACATCATCTGTTTGTATTCCACGTATTAGCCAATGGTGTGGCACTTCCAGAGGTTGTCCAGCCGGTTTGGCACAGATGTATTGATTGAGATGTGCTAGTGCTGTCCTCTGCTGGCTGCAGGGAAAAATACCACACATATTCACATTTACAGTAATTTGGATCACATTAAACCACCTGCCTGAGGATTGACGCGTGATTCAATTCTTTGTATTTTTATTTAACTGAGAGACTATGATTTTTGTGTTTTATTTGGGTATCTGGATTTTGTCTAATACTACACACTACAATATACCTTCTTAATTCCATTTAAGCATGTTCTTGAGGTCATTTTTAAGCATGTAAAATACATAGAATTTATTAAATGGAAAACAAACAAGCAACATGTTTGCACCAACTTGTTTATAAATGTATGGTGTAAATGTTGTCTTCAGCTATAAGTCACACATTTGATGAATAAATAAAGACATCTTAACACCTAACAAGATTTTTTAATTAGGATGTTTATAAATATTTGTAATTTGTATTTTTATCTACAACGAGTGAAGTAAATCCATTTGTAATGTATGAATGCAGAGCTTTAAAATACTTATATTTGTATACTTATATAGGCTACTAATAAAAAATGATATATCCATGTATAAATATTTATATATATATATATATTTCATTAGAGCAAGGAATCGATCCCAAAAGGTGAGGCGTTGGGAATCGAGAGACCAAAAGTCTCTGCACAACAAATCTGGGAGTTGATCACTTTGATTGTCAAACTACTGCCTGTCGTAGAACAGCCTTGAGATTGAGTTAGAGAGGATTTTGATTCATCCCATTGACTCGAGTCATTTAATTCAGTTAAAAGACTTCTGATTCGTTTGTATTTATTTACATTTAGTGGCTCTTTGCAGCAGGAGTATTACATCAATTCATTTATCATTCACACAACAATTATTTATTCTAGACCAAAGCACCATTAAATACCATAGGTTAGACGCCATTTAACCAGTATGTGACCTAAAAATAGGGTGGAGGAGCAGTGATGTTGGCTGGGTGCTGGTAGGAGGAGGGTTGGTGTTAACTGGGTGCTAGTAGGAGGAGCAGTGATGTTAGCTGGGACAGCATGGAGGAAAGGACAGACAAAATGCTTGACATGCTATTCGGTTTATTAGAAATGTATATAGCAATAGTCAAAATACAAAATAATATAGGCTATGATTGTGTATAAACGGATGTTTTATTTTAAATCAAGGGTGCATATGATTTTCAAACATAAATAATAATTTAATTTCACTTAATTCAATTTTACATTCCTATCTGAATGCCATAAAGATGACATTATAGTCATTAAGATTATTTAGGCTCTCGGTTACCATTTGAATAGTGAAACCACAATGAACATGATGTGATTTCCCTTGACTAACAAGCTTAAAAATATTTTTAAAAATAATTTTAAAAACAGGAACAGTCTTTAACCAAGGTAGCATTCACCTAACAAGGCAGGTAATGCTAGTTGACCATACTAATCCTCAAATATTATAGCATATTAGCCCCCGGTTTCACAGACAAGGCTTAAGCCTAGCCCCAGACTAAAATGTATGCTTGAGCTGATTTAACTGAACGCAATTTGCACTGATACATCTTAAAATACGTCACTGTCATTGTTTTGTCTCAAGATGGACACCAATAATGTTTCTCTCTCAGTGGCTGCATCTGACATATTAAAATGAGAGGTTAACCTATAGTTAAGCCTATTTTTATTGTTGCGGTTTTATTCAATTTAAATATCAAAATGTTCGTAAGAAGAAGAAGAAAAGAAAAAAACGTTGATATCATCTTTGCTCGCTCCTTTGAATGCATCTATAGTAAAAAAGCTCTATATTTAACAAAGCACATACAAAAGACCTGGGCCCGTATTCATAAAGATTCTAAGAATCCTCTCAGAAAACTCTTAATTTAGCTTAAAAACTTTTATGATCTTAGTGAGAAGGCGGGGCTGACCCCGTTGCTATGTATGACACAATCTTTTGAAGACTGTGATTGGTTGGTTGTCCAAGAAGGGAAAAAAGAGTGATTTTAAGATATAGGGTCTATTCTAAGCCTTCACTTTGAAATTACATGCGTCATTTTTCCTATTTGACCATTCTCACACACACACACACACACACACACATTATATATGTGTAAATCATTTTAATTTTATTTACCATGCTGCTAATTTCCTATAAGGTATTTGATTGGCTTAGAATGATAACAATTGTTCCACTCTTTCCAATTGCAATGATTGCTGTCTATTTAAGTGGTGGTTTGAGTGTTGGTTTTAATGAAACAAACATGGAATCAAAACCAAGAAGGACGAGAAAGCCCGACTGGACAGAGGTTAGTGGATGAACACAAGGCCATCCTTAAAAGAAAATTAGGGCCGGGTGTCGATCTATAGCGTCTTATTAACTCACTGTCATCCGTTGTCTGCAACACATTTCTTCTCCCTCTTCGTCTTTCTGCCATTTTCTCCTCTGCTAAAGAAACTCTTAAGCCTCTTAAAAGTCCTCGTCCGTACTCCTAACAATTTTGACCTTAAGACCTCTTTTAAGGGTTAAGATACTTTCTGAAGTACTTTTTTCTTTACTAAGATTTTTTCTTTAACTTAAGAGTAAAGGCCCACATTTCTAAGAATTTTCTTAGAATTTTGTCACTAGGAGCTACTCTTTGCATTATGATTCTTTATGAATACGGGCCCAGAACTGAAGCGATGTTTGTTGTGCATAACCCGTACTTAATCATTCTGAACCTCCTTTTAAACCATTTTTATGACGGTTCAACAACCATTTCCTCTTGTGCAACACCACAAAATCCATCATCCGTTCTCTTAAAAAACGTAATTTTGTCTTTGCTTAAACTGAGGCCCGAAGGACCTGCTATGAAAACCTCAGAGTATTGTTCATCTATGACAAAGCCTGACGTCTCAATAAAACCGTTGAGCATCTTTTCAAAACTATCCAACCCCTCTTTACAATCAGAAAGAATCACAAGAGCTGTGTCTTTGTCAACGACTGACTTTAGGGTTTCTCCTTGGACTTTAGGTCCCAAAAACCTGTTCTCGCAGTTAATGGAGTTGATCAGAGGAAGAAGGCAGATGCTTACTAGTAAAGGAGTCAGCGGACATCCCACCCGCAGACCTTGTGATCCGTGATCAGTCATCAACAACAGCTTCAACACGGATCGAAATCTGTCAGGTAGATTCACGGACTTTAAGCTATTAAACAGATACGGCCACTTCAGTGCACCTGGATCTAGTTTTAATGAAATAATTAGCACTGGGATTTGAGCACTGATGCAGTGCTGAACTGAACTGTGTTGTTTGCTTTGGCCTGGATTTAAAATGTGTTTAATAACGTCATTCAACCTCGCTGCCAGAATCAAAGCCAGGATTTTATAATCCACATTACGCATTGTCATCGGACTGCAGTGATATTGAATACCATAGCTGTAGGTGTGATCGTATTTGTCATGGCTGAGCGATTCGACAACCGCACGTTTAATTGGCTTTAGGTCGAGGATTTGATTGAAAAATGCTTGTAAGAGGTCAGTGATTTCACAAGCATAATGCTTATAGAAATGGACTGTAAGCCCATCTGCTGCTAGACTTTCAGACTGAGGCAGGGACAGTATGGCAACCAGAATCTCTTTTCTCGAAACTGGTTCGTTTAGAACGGTAATCAGGATGGATTTTACGTCATCAAATCTCTCAGTTTGGTGTAAATGATTCAAGAAGTTCAGAAGACTCTCGGATGAAGTATTTGGTGTTTGAAGAACCTCAATGGATGATTCACTCGGACACCCTTAAAAAAGAAATACATGTTAAAACAATTTATAATTAATTTTACATTTTAAAATGAGAGGGAAAAGAGCCGATCTATACCTCCTTGTTCCACGTGTTCAACCTCTCGAGGAAATTCAGTCGTGTCTGAACATCTTGACGGTTTTAGGCGTCTTTGCAAAACTATTGCCTCACATATAAGCCTGACCTTCACTCCTGGCCACAGGTATTCTTTCTTTCTGGTATTTATTTGTGAAATTTTCTTTATTGTGCTTGAGAGTTGTTCCATGCATGCCTTATCTTCAAGAAGACAAGAATCAAACTGCCATTTTGGTCCACGTGTCTGAATTTGAATGGACAATGGGGCGTGATCAGAAATGTACTCTTCTTTATCCGAGTACATTGGTCTCTCGTGAATGTTACAAGCAGTTACGCTTGATAAATTGTGACTTTGCAAAAAGTAGTAGTCTAGTCTCGACTGACCTTTCCCATCAAAATACGTAAAGCTTTTTACCTCCTGGTAAAGACACCGCCAGACATCCACTAAGCTTAAGGTTTCCAAAAATTTTTGCAGAGCATCGAAAGACTTTCGGTGACTTCGGTTTCGTAAATTTGATGTTTTATCAAGTTCGGCGTCCATGACTGTGTTGAAATCCCCACCGACCACCAGGTACGCCGACGACGGGATGTGGGTCGCAATTTGTGAGAACTCCGTAAACCGAATTTTTTCATCATTTGAGTTATACACATTGATAAATACAAAATCACGCCCCCAAATTTGACATGAGACAATTATGAATCTTCCCTTTCCGTCGCCACTGACATTGAAACCACCACATCCGAGGTTCTTTTTGAACAGTACGGCCACCCCTCGGGAACTTCCTTTAAATACGGTAAATGCCGCCATGTTGTAATCGCATTCTAAATCTTGGATTTTGATGCTCCCGGTTGAGTAGATTCTATCTGGACCCACATGAGTTTCTTGGAGAAAGACTACGTCAGCATTTAGCAGACTTAAATGACGAAGAACCTCATTTCGTTTGCGGTGGAAACCGTTTACGTTCCATGAAAGAATCCTTAATATTTGCTGCTCGTCTTCAATGTCAGTCATCCTGAAGTGGTCTCTATGGATCAGTTTCATTAATGAATGGGTTGGTGTACCTAAACAATGCAACAGAATATTTTGTTAATTGCAGAATTGTTTTACAAAACCTGAAGAACTGCATTCTTTGATGACATAAACATACATACAGTAGGCCTACACCTTGCAAAATATGATTTTTTTTAGCAAGTCTCAAGACAGAATGGTAGCGGAATTATGTAAAAACCTTTTGATTATGATGATCAAATTGTACTTATTTTGTCTTCTGAGAAATCTCTCTCTCTATATATATATATATACAGTATTTATTACATGGCTTGTTGAATTCTAATGTAAGTATAACACACCGTTGCCATGAAAAACAGAGCGTTGCCATGGACACAGTTCTGTTCACTCTGGAGGATAAACTCCTTTAAATCAATAAACTCTTTTTTAAATCAATATTTTGTGTCAAATTATTGATTTATTTGGTAGGTAGCCATGTCCGATTTTGCCTCGCGTCGGGGTCCTAATCAGCCTGTCGGGGTTGTATTCGCTATAACAACCACCTCGCTCTTATCCCATATACACACACACACATACGCAGTTGCAAAAAAAAGTGTGAAAATTTTATTTATTTGAACAAAATAAGAGAGATACAAAATGCATGTTATTTTTTATTTAGTACTGAATAAGATATTTTACATACAAAGTTTACATATAGTCCACAAGACAAAAAAAATAGCTGAACTTATTAAAATGACCCTGTTCAAAAGTTTGTGAACCCTTGATTCCTAATACTGTGTGTCGTTACCTGGATGATCCACGATTTGTTTTGTGATGGTTGTTCTTGAGTCCCTTGTTTGTCCTGAGCTGCCCAATGTTCTTCAGGAAAATCCTCAGGTCCCAAAAATTCTTCAGTTTTCCAGCATCTTTTGCATATCTGTACCCTTTCTAGCAGTGAATGTATGATTTTGAGATCCATCTTTTCACACTGAGGACAATTGAAGGACACAGATTCTGCAAGGGGTTCACATACTTTTTCTTGCAACTGTATAGTTTCTCAGAAGATAAAATAAGTAATATTTGATCGTCGTATTCATATATCTGATTAACCTTACCTTGTCAATTCTTTGCACACAAAAAATAAAACAAATCGAAATATTAATATAATATTTAACTTGAATAATTATAAACTTGAATAATTCCTTTATTTAAAATAAAATGAAGCGCTACATCCTACACTTGTTTGAGATGGAAGGAACACGTATCAACGCTCTACCTCTTCCTCTTATAACACACATGCGAACATGATTATATCATTACATGTCATCATGTTTAAACTCAAATGATTGGATTGGAAGTCCTAGTATACTTTTCCTGTTCTTAGTCAATAAACATTTCCTCCTCAAAATCCTTTATATCAGTTTCCCAGATGTAAGGAATGCACTTTACCCAGATCTTTTGTTAATTTTTATTTTGGTTATGATAAAAGTGAATTTTGTTAGAATCTTTGTCTTATATTTACAATGAGTATTTGTAAGTCAAAGTATGCCCAGAGTTGAATGCAAATGGCCAGTCAGCTTGTTCCTTTACAATGTCATGGAAGTCTTCTCAACAAAGCAATACAAAAATGTACCTACCTGCATTTTCTCCTGGACTCCAGGTCCTAGAAGCCTGAAGGACAGACGCACATTAGTCAAGGCCTCCCTTTAAGACCACAGACAAACCAGATCAGTGTAAATCCCCCATTACCAGTGGACCGACTACTGACATGTACCTGCCAGGCAAGTTCACTGACTTCTATACACCTGGATCTACAGGAAGCATCAGCCGTGGGAGTGACCATGACAAGCATAATTGGTATGTTGTGTCTACTCATGCAAAAAACATGTACGATTTTTTTTTTCCAGGTATTGTGTAAATATACCTAGCAATACAGCTCATTACCATTCTGAGAGTATATGATTTTATATTAGAAACCATTCATATTCCATTTAACATATGAATTGAGAGTCCATTCCCATTTAAAACAATGATCTACACACATCATGGTAAACACAGAAGCTCATGCATCAGTGTTTGAGTTTCCGTGTTAACCAAATATGTCCTATGTACAGTATGTGTCTATCATTATGTATTCTTCTTGTTCAGAAGACCAGGATTAAGTCACCAGCCCACCGGTGGGCCCATAGCCATTACATATTTAAAACAGTAATATCCTGAACCTAAACTAATATTGACAAACTAAATATCATTTGGAAGCTTACAATCTCTAGTTTTCATATTTGGTGACTTTTTTGGTGATTTTCAAAATACATTACAGAGGAGCCGTAATCTATCAATTTGCAACAAGAATATTTTCATACTCCTAAGGCGTGTTCAGACCTTTATTTTGAAATAGTGATGAACATGAAAATCATGAAAGAATGGTAGAAAGAGTTCAAAAGATAACATCCATTCAATGTTTTTTAAAAAAAAAAAAAAAAAGGTCTGAAAATCTTTTAAATTTAAAGAAAAAAAATAATAGATTCACCATTTGTGAGGTGGCAGCGAGCTATAACGCACATGCGTGATCTTTGTATGTGTTTCTTAGAGGTTGAATTCATATCAAAATCTGCCAAACTTCCCATACTACTTCTGATGTAGGATGTCTACTTCATAAATTGTATGAAAATTGTGGAAATAATGGTTCAGATGACTCAAACCACATTATGGAAATGGCGGCGCCCTTATATGGGCAGTAATGGAGTCTGGTTGTCCCCTAGTGAAAAAGTTTGGTACTGCGCCCAAACAAAATCTTACTGAAAGCTCATTTTTTGAGAGATCAACCTAAAATTTGAAACACAACTTGTTCAGAATTTTGGCTTTGATTTTCTTGCAGTTATTGAGTCCACCAGGTTTAAAAAATATATATATTTTATATAAAATATGAATAATCAAATTTTGACATGTTCATAAACTTAAACTTCAATAACTTTTTTACTGTTTCACTTAATTTATTTCACTTCTAGAAAAATCTGCCAAATGTCTTTAATACAAGACCAATCTTACATCTATATGCCAAAGCATTCTTGAATTACAACCATTTAAGTTCGGAATGTGCATTTGTGACACTTAAAGGGTTAAGTGGCTTGATTCACATGGATTCGTTTCACTACAGATTTAACCTTTTTGGATCTTAAGTTTTTGACTACCTGGGCTTTTAATGGAGGGAAAGGAACCTCTGAGGTTTCATTAAAAATATCTAAATTTGTGTTTTGAAGATTATCCGAAGATTCTAAAGAATTGTCTTGTTTCAGTATATTTTAATTCTATGATCATAAAATTAAACTTTAAATGACTTAAAATTTCTATAATTTAATTAACCTGAAAAAAAAAAATGCATTTTACTCACAAAAGACCATTTAACGCATAATATGCACTAAACTGGTGCAAAATTGTTTAATCAAGCATTTTACATTCATGGTTCCCAATTACATAGTTCTTATTGTTTTTTGCAGTGTACCATAGATAAAGCCATAGCAGAGTCATGGGAGAACTGAAAGGCAAGGCATAATGCTATATAATCAACAAAGCTTTAAACAACAGCATCATTGCAAGAATGTAGCTTTCTACATGTTCGGTTCTGTCCTTCTGTTATCATGTATTTCCTCTGGATTCAGTTACAATACTGTTATTCATTGGACCGAATCATAAAAACAACAGTTCTGATATATCACGCTGGCAGGGTCTTTACACACACACACACACACACACACACGTGCCCGCGTTGACAGAAGAGACACTTCGCAGATGTTCAGTGTGCGTGGACTGCACGCGACACTACCAGCCACGCATGACCAACACATACAATAAAAAGGTATAGATAGAAACGGGAGTGAAGTCATCTGACAACACATAACTGTGCAAATAAAACATACGCCCCACGTAAGGAACTGGGCTGAGGTGAACACATGTAAGCTGGAAGGTACAAAAGTTAAGAGTCCGGAGAAAAGACTTGATGCGTGTTAGGAAACCGTCTGGAATTGTAATCTGGGTCGTCCTTTACTCGTTTCTTGATGTCGTCTTTCAGCTGATAAAGAGAAGAGATTATATCAGTGGGTTTTGTCATATAGAGTCATATTTCAGGGTCAGTACATTTAAAAAACAACAAGCTTTTATTCATCAAAGAAACATTAAATCGATCAACTGTGAAAGTAAAGACATTTATTATGTTTTAAAAGATTTCCATTTCAAATAAATGCTGCTCTTTTGAACTTTCTATTCATCAAAGAATCCAGAAAAAGTTCATGGTTTCCACAAAAAAATTGAGCAGCTCAACATTAATACTTGTAGGAAATGTTTCTTGAGTACTAATTCAGTATTTTAGGGTGATTTCTGACGGATCATGTGACGCTGAAGACTGGAGTAATGACAAATGTAAGCTTTGATAATCAATGGTATTATATAAAAAAACGGTATTTGATAAAAAAGTTTTTTTTCAAAGGGAACCAGCATTTCAGTTACAGATGTCCAACTGTGCATTCCTAATTTAATGCATACAAGCATTAAAAATATACAGTATAAAAGCTTTGAACTGAACTAGATTTTTGTGCACAATACATACGAGTTCCCTGATTATGATTCTGCCTGCAGATTAATGTCACTTGAACGATTCCTGATCTTGTTACACGCTCTAAGTGCTGTACATGCTAAGAAAGCATCATTTTTCTGTGGCCATGAAAAATAACCTTTCTTAGAATAATCAATACTGAATATTCGCTGGACGGACAGATTAATTTATTGTATTATTAATTTAGCTACATCAAGTTAATATGATTAACTGATCCAAATTTTTATATATTAATTGTAACAAGTTATAATTCATTATTCATATTTCCCTTTTGAGCTAATTTGCTACAATAGGAAAATCTCTTTCTACACAAGGTACCTGTTCACTGTATGCTTCCTGAAGCTCTGGTTTATCTAAATCCACCTGTAGAGCGTCGGGAGCTGTGATGGGCGTTACGCCGGCTGATTTGGCGGCTTGACTCACTGCCTCCGAGAGTGACAGTTTGGGACCGTCACTCTTTACCATCTAGAAGAGACACAATAAGAAAACGTTTGTTTATTGTGATGCTTCAGAAAGGGCAAGGGTGAAATATTACGGTAAATATCATGGCAAACCAGTCTAAATGAATAGAAAACTAAAACGTACAATCTCATTATTTACATGTAACTGCATGAAACTGAATGTTTACCTTCCTGCGCTTCGCTGGCATTCCATATAGATATGCGTCAGAGAGAGGAGGTTGGGCCTTAATCTTCCTCTGACTGATCTGATCTTGTCTGATAATGGGAACCCACTCCTGCAAACAATACAGCTCATCAAGCCCACACTCACAACAAGATTCAATCTCACAGGTTTCCTGATCTGAACGGCAAGATGCTAACAACAAGTGGTACACAAAGATGCTGTCAGACGCCTTGAAGGAATGAGCTCACGATCAAAGGTGCTCATTTAATACCCACAACAAAATGGAAAACTTTAAATGTTTTAATCAAATGATAGGGTAAACGATAACAAGGGAGAGGTATTCTGTTGTTGAAATGTGATTGATTTTAATTTAAGATACTAGATGTGTGGAAATATCTCACAGGAGGCAACGCGGCTGCCCAGGCTTCAGCATCTCTTCCTGCGTCCTCTCCTCCAACAGCTCCCTCACTTTCCCTAGCTGGAACTCTCACTGCTCCAGCTTCCTGGGAGGAGGCCAGAGCTTCTTCCGCTGTAGTAGCAGGTGTTGGAGAGAGACTGTCCCCCATCTGAACCATGTATGGGAGAGGACACAGGTAAGACCACACCCAGGGCCAAGTATGTACATGTTAAGTCTTCAACATCCAATGAGTTGCATTTCAACCTAAATCTGTTCATCAGCTTCAAACCATCTTTCTATATTTATATACCTCTACGTTCTGAGGCTCAGGATCCTGTGTGGGCCTCTCTACCGATTCTTCATTCTGTAGAGAGATGTACATATGAATTCTGATGACAAGTCAACGTGAAACACTATTTGAAACCCACGTAACTTCCATAGTGTAACAGGTACGGTCACACCATGTCTGAATTACCACAATTGCAAGATTCTGAAATGCAGTCACGTCCTCGTAGAACTCATAATTACAACTTGTAAACTCTACAACTTACACCCCGTGACCTCTGTACCACCTGATTGCTCCAAATTAATTTAGCAGTTGATAGTGTTGTCATAGAAATGCAATTACTAGCTATTACTATCATAGCCTTTACTATGTCAACATTAACTACTGAAGTATTTTTATAATAATAATAACAAGTTACATTTATATAGTGCTTTACATATGGAAGGGGGGAGTCTCCTCAACCACCACCAATCACACCATCAAAGGTTGCATTATCTACTCCAGAAGCCTAAAACAATGTTTTATAGAATATGCAGGACACATACTAACCTGCATGATATATATTTTATGAGTTGAATAACAATTCTCAATCATATAATTCAATAATATATATATATATTTTTTTAAATCACCTCAACTTTGAAAAACTCCTTTGTGCAAACATCAAGTACCACATTAACCAACAGCATTGGATCTGGAAATATGCCATGGGAACGTGTGGAATCTAACCTGTGTGTGGATGACGTAATGGGTGATCTGTTCCTCTGTGATGGGAATGTGCTCCAGTATCACTTGCAGCCTCATTGTCATCATACTGGTTAACCAGTTCACCAGGCTAGGGTTTACTTCAGCTGACATCGTCCTCTGAGATAGGA